TTACTTCGGCAGGTGCAATATGGAACCCATGAGTTATTATTGCAGTTACTAATAATCCACCATAATATCATACAATTACATTACATTTGCATACATTAAAAAAGATAACATTTCTGCCTCTGAAGACCAGATAATCTACCTCACAGTTTGTACAGCCAGCTAAGTTAAGTGCTTGGGGACCATGTGAATGAAGTGTGTCTTTGCTTGACTGTGTTTCTAGGATACAGTTTATAATAAAAGACCATGTATATAAGGCAGAATTCCCTCTTCATGCTTCCTTTTGCTCCAGGAGGGGTAGTAATTTTGTTTTGATATATATCATCAGCCAGTGCTTCTCCCCTGTGCTCATTCGGCTGCACACATTACCAGTAGGCAGGCTCCCTCCGCCCTCTGTCTCTCTCCGCCCATTAATCCCTCATTAACATGCAAATACAGAAATAAGTAAAGTTCCGGTTCCTTCCCTACTCCTTTTCAGAGCCCAAGTTGTATTAGTCCCAGAGATACATTTATTTTATTGAAATGAATAGTTGTATATGCTGTGCTACTAAATATGTAAAATTTTCACTCATGGAGAACCTATTTAATTCGTCGGACTGGGATATAATCACAGACTGATTATGCCAAACGCCCTGAGCCTTCTTGTAAGTCATCCTCCGTCCTCAACTGGACAGAAAACTATTAGGGGTAAAAGGATATCTTAGACTGGTTTATTTAGTCTCCTAATGGCTACAGGGTTTTGGACCTCTCTTTAGGGAAATTCCACCAATGTAATGTCTTTTTCTGGTGCCAGGTTTAAGTAAGTGTATTAAATCTGACTGATCCGTGTGTATAAATAGCCCCAGCCTTGAGCAACCTCTGTGACATCTTTTATAACGCAGCAGATCCAGATGTGTATACTCAGGACCCAGAGAGGACAGCAGATATTTTTGGTTTTGTTTTTTCCCCGAGTTTTTTTTACTTCCCCGCACTCAAGTTGTAAAACTTCTTACATTGGTTCTCTCTTGGGAATGCTGCAGTTATTCACTGAGATCAGAAAAGAAACGCTTGTGCAGAAAGAGCCCAGCAACCTGGGGATGCATTTTTAAGGATCTATGTTTTTTTCAGTGAACAATCTTAAGGTACAATTGCCGTTTATTTTGGAGAATTGCTTTAAATTACTTTGATTTTCTGCATTTTCATTTTAAAGCTCCTCTCTTCACAATCTTCTTGTTGCCAGAAATAGGATGGTGATAATTAGACCCAATATCATCACATATCTGTCTTCACACCCAAGATCCAGATGGGCTGCAAGAGGCTACAGAAACAGTTGTCACTTTGTTGAATGCAAATCAAGTTTGGACAGTGCAAACAAATGCTTTTCCCTGTCATATTCTAGCTATTCATCACAGGGACAGTACAAGTTAGAAATGCTATATAGATGCTCTTTATGGATTTATACGCATTAGAACGGACCTGTCAAGCATTATAGCTGCCCACATTTCTGTTATCTCCTTTCAGCTGTGTTTGTTACTGCATTGCTTTAAATAGGAAGATCCTGACTTCTTGTGGATTGTGCCACCATCTATGTGATTCTATTAATTCTGGAAATGTGCAGCTTACTCAAGTGTTGTAAGAAAACATTTATGCTGCATATCTTCACCTGCTGTATAGCTTAGCCATATGAGGAACTAGACTGAAAAATTCAACATATTTCTAATAAAGAAGGTAAGGTAGAGGAGATATTCTCTGTGAGAGGGTGACATTTTGTTACTTAGGACTGTGGCAAAGTAGAATTGGCCAATACCAGGTAGGTTATATGCTGCATAAATTACCGCTAATCTCTTAATCTGCCTTGTCCTAAATATATTTAGGCAAAATATAGGGACTCATTTTATAAAGTGACTTCTAATTTTGCACTCAGAGGTTGTGCACTTTTTTTTTTAATGACTCCAGCTACTGTTCTCTGATGTAGAAGCAGCAGCAGCAGCTTCAACAGGGATAAGATGAAGATCTCTGTCTGAACTCATCATACCAGGGTTGTCCTGCACTTGGTGCCCACGTGAGGTGGATAAGCAATACACTCCTGAGTGAAAGCAGACAGACTGTACCAGCTCCTCTGTGCAATCTGATGTACAGCCGTATGTCAGCTGGTAACAAGGCAGTTGCTATCTGAGGTATCTCAGCAAATTGTGTTTTTTGTAGTCTAGCCTAGAAGGGGATTTTCTATTAGGGGTTACGTTGAAGTGTGTTAGCAGAAGGAATAGGATTGCGAGTTGGTACAACAAGGGAAACGCATCCCTTTGCGCTTGCCCCAGAGTCTGAGGCTGGGTGCATTTCAGCTGGTGAGACGTTTCTCCTAAATCGACGTGTCTGTCTGTACAATGAAGTGCCAATGGGCAATGCTGGGAAGGAGTGGTTGAACCAGTTTTGAGTTCTGGCCATGGATCCTTACATCCCAGATGATCTCATGGCATCACAACTGGTTTGGTACATTTTGAACTCTGGGAAAAATAGTTTACCTTAGAGACAAAGACACAGTGATATGTTTTGCTTGTAAGCAGAAAGAGGCAGCATCTATTTGGTATGTAAAGAAGGTGTGCATCTCTTTGGTCATGGCACAACTGTTGATATTACTCAAAGATCAAAGGCCAAATTACTTTGAATAACCTGAAACCTGTCAGTACTTCATGGATGTCCCAAAAGACATTACCTGGAGTAGCTTGTTATTTTGAATTAGAAAGCATCTCAGGAAGTCAGAGATAAAAAGTTCTGCTGATGCGTTCAGTGGGAGCTATTTATCGTATGGTTTTGTATCTTCAGCAGACTATCAGAAAACAGCCTGAATGTTAAGACTATTTCATAATCATTATTAACCAGTACCGTCGTTATAAGCCTGTTTGCTTTAGCCCTCAGGTAACAAAGTTCACTGCTCCATCAAGCTCTGTCATAATCAGCCTTATTACAAAAACATAATATTGTAACCTTCAAAGGCTCCCTGGGCTAGCGCTGTAAAAACTGGGAATGAACTGAAGTAATCTTTAGGCTAGCAGCAGTTGCACTGGGAAAATATAACCATTTTTATGCATGTAATGTACATGCTCCCTCCGCACCCTCTTCATGCTCTTCTCAACAGGACAAAAGCTATCCCTCAGACCTCTTTTGGAGCCAAATTAGCTCATCAAAGCAGAACAAGTTTATAACACAGTGTTCACTGCATATCAAATGCCCATGTACTGCTTTGATTTCCATTCTTTGGAATGGAAGTTGCCATATTTTGAGTATTTCATTTCAAGGAGGAAAGCTATTAAGTTTTTCCCCCAAAGCAGCTGATTATTCAATGGCTAAAGATGTCAAGGATAATGAAATAAAAAGGGAGCTAGGCTGTGATAGTGTCTAGCAGGAAAATGCATCTCATTAGAAGGCATTCCCACCAGAGAAGTCTATGGTATTACATGCATGAATTCCTTTCTGCTGTTGTTAACCAGGTTTTGGATGCAAACAGCATGCAGCCTCAATGACAGTGCATAAGTGTGTACAAACAGTAATTAATCGTTGGCTCCATGAATGGAGCCTCTGTGAGGCTGGAGGCAAATCAAAGGGCTGGCCTGGTTTCCAGCACTTGAGGAACGTGTCATGCTGTACAATTGGGAACATTCACGTTATGAATATCACCTTGTAAGTTGTGTGGCAGGAGGCTGAGGGTAGCTGGCCTCCACGGGCTCAAGTCTGTGCTCAGCAGAAAGACCTGCCCTTTGGTGTTTGGTGATGGGGACAAAGTGTGCATGCTGTGATCCAAGGATCTTTCAGTTGAGTTTCCGTGGCAATTCTGGAAGGAAAAAGAAAATCAGTCCCACTACACAAAATATTTGTGTGTGAATTTATATATTCAAGGCTGTTTGCAAGAGTGCATTTTTGAAACGGCAATGGTGTTTTCTACAGGCAGACACACATTAGAAGTTTATTGATACTTTGGCATTGGCAACAAAGACGAAATATGCTGACAAGAGGTGTAAGCACTCTCTCCCACCCCCCACCCAGTATCTTGGCTGGAATTCAGAGCGTTTTGACCAGGCAGTGCATTTTGAGGCAGAGAAAGGGGTTGTGTCAGTATGAAACACAGTGGTTGTCGTTAGAGGATCAACACATTACGAATGAACCTTGCAGTGGTGTCTGAGACACCGCAATATTTCCTTGCACTTAGAAGACGCAAAACAGCTTCCCAACAGAGAGCACTGTGTGGGAAATGTGGGCAAATATCGGTCTGCTAGAAAGGATAGCAAGTGGGTCACTGTCATTGTCGGTGCAACTGTGGGTTTGGGGGGGTTGTGCTGAGATGCGTTATGGAGGGCAGGGCCAGGGAGACTGTCAGGCACTGAAGTGTATTGCACTGTATTATAAAATCACCTAAAAAATATCGCAGTATCTGTAGTATACGTGACAGTAATAGTCCCCAAACTGGCAGCTTGCAATAACTGTACCACAGCACATGTGCCCATCATTACAGCATATCGGAACATTTTCTACAATGGCAAAATCCATTTTCCTGGGCAGTTCAGTGTCAGAGTGAACAAGTCTTCTCCCTGTGCTGTATCTGTCTAGCAAAAGGAGATGAAATACAGGAGGGCTGAGGGAGTCATATAAATTGAATGACTCTGTGGTTTTATGATATTCATATGAAAATAAAACTGGGCTGGATCGTCACTTGATGTAAATCGTCCTAGGGACATGGTACAATTTATATCAGCTGAGGTGCTGTTCCTCTTCTTTGTCTAACATACACGCTGTATGTGATGAAAGTCAAAATTGCAATGATTAGTTTTTCATTCACCCACTTCTCTTTTTATGCAGATAAAGTGTTGCTTTTTTTCCTTCACATCCTTATGACAGTCCATGTTGCTAAGTAGATACTGGTAGAGAGCTGTGAGGTCTCACAACAACTTTGCAAGCAGACTTCTGTTCCTACACTTCTTTCTTTCTATCTGTAAGCATAACATTGACCAGCGTTACTTGTACCCTGACAGGTCTGATTGTCCGAGAGGTAAGCATTGAGATTTCCCGCCAGCAAGTCGAGGAGCTCTTCGGGCCCGAAGATTACTGGTGCCAGTGCGTTGCCTGGAGCTCTGCAGGCACCACCAAGAGCCGGAAAGCCTACGTCCGCATTGCATGTGAGTGTCTTTACTCTGCGTGTTGAGTCGATGGTGTTTGGGTGAGGAAAAGTGGAGTCTCTGCCGTTCGGGAGAGACGTTTTGTTTCTGACCAGTTAGGCTTTGTATTTTCTGCAGTTATTGATGCATACTAAAATAAGGCCTTCAGAAGCATTTATAAGAATTTCAGTTTATCCTGTTCTTAAGAGCAAAATCTCAGTTCTTCTCCTTTGTGTGGAGGGAAAGCATCAAAAACAATATTTCTCGAGTACAGCAGTTACATGTCTCAAGAAAAGTGTCTGAAGCTAATGAGTAGGAATATTACCAAAGAAACCTATGAAATGAGGTGACAGCTGTTCCTTTCACAGAATCATCGAATGGTTGAGGCTGGAAGGGACCTCTGGAGGTCATCTGGTCCAACCCTCTGCTCAAGCAGGGCCACCTAGAGCCAGTTGCCCAGGACTGATTCCAGATGGCTTTTTAATATCTCCAAGGAGGGAGACCCCACCACCTCTCTAGGCAACCTGTGCCAGTGCTCGGTCACCCTCACAGTGAAAAAGTGTTTCCTGATGTTCAGAGGGAACCTCCTGTGTTTCAGTTTGTGACCATTGCCTCTGGTCCTGTCACCAGACACCAGTGAAAAGAGCCTGGCTCCATCCTTGTTACACCCTCCCTTCAGGTATTTGTACACATGGATGAGATCCCTCTGAGCCTTCTCTTCTCTGTGCTGAACAGTCCCAGCTCTCTCAGCCTTTCCTTGTAGGAGAGATGGTAGTCATCTTTGTGGCCCCTTGCTAGTTCAGCAACTAGCAACTCTCCAGTATGTCCATGCCTCTGTTGTACTGAGGGGCCCAGAACTGGACCCAGTACTCCAGATGTGACCTCACCAGGGCCGAATAGAGGGGAAGGATCCCCTCCCTCGACCTGCTGGCAATACTTTGTCTAATGCAGCCCAGGATACCATTCTCCCTCTTTGCAGCAATGGCATATTGCTGACTCATGGTCAACTTGGTGTCCACCAGGACCCCCAGGTCCTTTTCCGCAAAGCTGAAAATATCTATCTCTGCAATCATATAATAAAGCTGCTGTTCCTTAGCAAAGAAAAAAAGTGTGTGTTTAGCGTATCATGTAATCAGATTGATAATACAAGGTTGAAAGTGATCATCTCAACCCTAATATTTCATCATTGTTATTCATGGCTACTAACCTCAGTATTTATTTTGAACCATTCCCAGCATAGACCCCAAGAACACAGGGCAACCAGTACCCTGAAAACAGATCTTCATTTGACTGTACAAATATTTAATGTTCATTAATTTTGAAAGAGGTGCTTTTCTTTGTAATAGAGTAGTCACACTGGGGACTCCCATTTCTCTTTCACATCATGAAATCCTGTTTCGTATAATGGGAGCAAAATATATCTTCCAGAATTGTACCTCTTCCACTGTTTTCACCTCAGCAAAAACACATTTTGTGAGAAAAGGTCATTAGAAGCTGGGTTTGCGGCATACTTATATTTCCTGCACTGTGCCTAACAATTTATAATGAGAGAAGAGAATTCTTCCAGCCAAATAAAGCTTTTCACAGACATGTTAGAAGAAGGACTCTCTGTCATTTAAAACTCTCCATTTAGAGCTTGATTCTCCTTTTGTTCTTGCGAAAGTATTATGGGGTTAAATCCTTGAAGAGGAGTTACCTTCTGTGTAAATATCCAGATACAGATCTAGGAGGTGCAATTTAAATACCCATTTTTGAATGCTTTTAGTCCAAGTAACTGACTGGAAGTAGAGGACCTGTACTTTTGATTACAGGACTAGCCTTGGCGAAGAATTTCCCCAGGGTTAAGGGGAATTAAAATTATTATACAGCCTTTCTGCAAAATTAGAAACACCACTACATATGTGCATAGTGCTTTCCCATGGCAGGAAACTTTTCAAGACTTTGAGGATTTTCTTTTTCTGTACTAAATGAAAGAGAGTTATTTCAATTTTTTTTCTTCTAAGCAGTCAAGCACTTCAGAGAAGCTTAGCAATGTTTGAACAGGTTTTTTAGATTATGACTACTAAGTTAACTCATTAAGTAGATTTTCATGTCCTGCCAGTTAGCCCTTGACAGATGACCATTAAATTAACGCAGTTTAGAAGCCTGAGTGTATTTCACTTGATGGTTAAGTAACTTTTGTATACTGCCATACCTATGCACTTAATTTCTATATAACACATGATCATTGTATGTGTATGCAAGTTATTTTGTATCAATTGACATTTCTTCCCAGGTGTCCAAATTTCTATTGAAGGCGTTCATGTTATAAAGTTTGCTTCTTTTTCTTACCATATTTTGGAGAGAGAGGAACAATCAGTTCAGTGATTTTTCTAAAGTCTTGGTGGTTTTTTTTAAAACAGTCTAATTAAATAAATTCCAGGGAGTTTTATGGGCCTGTAACTCGAATGTGGCTTTGTATTTTAGTGAAGTTTTTTTAACCTCTTGGTCCTGAATTTGGGGTTCTTGGGCAGCTGTGACACAGGCAAATCACTTAGACTCCTTGGGATTAAAGGTTGAAGTGTTAGGCCTTCAAACTGCAGATTTTCAAACAGCAGCAAAAGCACGTTCTGTGCAAAATTGTCCATTTCCAATTTCACAGTTTTCTATAAATTTCTCAGGTAACTCAGGACTATTTTTTTAGGAACTCAGACATATGATGTGGGGTATATGCCTTACTTTGTGATGCCATTTGATCTACAAGATCCCTATTTCAAACTGTGGACTCAGATATACCGATACCCATCTATATTCACAGGCTTGACTTCAGAGGACTGAATCTGTACTGGCAATGTAATAGTTGTTTCCTATCTAAACTTTAAACACAGCTGGTAAGTCTTGTGATGGCTACACAATGTGCCGTGAGTTTGGGATGCAAGGTAGTGTCCATGCAGTATGTATTAATCTAGAAAATCAAGGGTGTTCAAAATTTAAGAGGGGCAGAAGAGCCCATCTCTCCAGCTCTGTCTGCAGCTATAGTTGCATGTTTGTCACCAATGCAATCTTCACTTCTAATTTGTACAAAAAGTGAGCACTGACACCTTTGGGAAAGGTGAGGGGTAAATGGAGCATGTAAAGTGCTCTGCTTAAGTTATGTTATTATTTATTTTAATACCTGAACCTGGTGATTTCATCTCGACAGGTACACCTGTAACATAACTAGCCATACTTAGCACATTAAGAAAAGCTTCTCTCCTTCTCCCTCTCCCTCTTCCTCTCCTCCTCCTCTTTCTCCTTCTCCTCCTTCTTTTCTCCTTCTCTTTCTCTTTTTTCTCCCTTATGCCCACTGGACTTATTCTGGAATTATTGTGTCCTCTCAAGGGCTGGAGCTGCACTCCATTAAAACAAACGAAAAAAATAGCATTCAACATCTCTGTTCACTGAGCGTGTAATAGAATTAACTGAAAAGTAATTTGAAAGTGTGAAAAATGTGCATCCTGGAAAAGCAGCTTGTATTTGTTTAATGCAGGGTCAGGCATGTGTCAGAAAGTACATAACAACCTAGTCAATGAAAGTTCTCTGTGAAAATCAATTGCAACATCGCTCCAGCCAAGAGCTTCAGTTATTCAGGAAGGGAGTAATCTATAAATACGGAGTGAAGATGCTGCTGGTTTTCAAAGACTGCCCATGCTAGCAATATAAACAGGAAAAGAGTCTGAGTCTAAAGCCAACATCCTGGCTTCTCTAAGTGTTCAGGGCATTTAATAGCGTCTCGCCGTTGCACTCCTGGACGATGAGTATGCTAGGAAATCACTCCCTTCTGTGCAGGCTTCTTCTGAAAAGGAGGAGAAACAGTAGGTGACAGAAACGTCATTATTTTCAGCTTTTTTCCTATTTCATGGAATTCATCTTCCTGAGGCGTTGGTGTCCCCATGAGAACAGAGTTGAGCATTTCATCCTCTTAAAAAAGCAGATTTGTTGGGTTTAATTTTCACTTTGCCATTCTAGATATCTCAGTAACCAGCAAAGTAGGGACACCTAATGTATATCTTGGTGGAGCTGGAAAGATATAATTTTCTGAGATATTGGCCTATGAAAGTGCTAAAATGCATTTCCTGTTTATTCACACATTTCTTATTTATTCTAGGCACATCCTATCAGGAGCACTAGGAGTCACTAATATGTTTTGATACAGTTTTTCTGCTCAATTGAAAAAAATGTTACTTTTGTGGAGGGAGGAAGAAGGGGGTTTGAGTGGCTTTATCTTTGGTTGAAAAAACCCCAAGCCCAATATAAAGTTTTAATGTGAATTTTATGTAACAAGACTGATGTCATTGAACAGATAAAACCTAACAGAGCAAAATTCCTGTTAAAAGGATGAATGAGGCCTGAGCCTATGTAACCGAGAGTAGAGTTAAACTCACTGGAAAATACATCTGATAAAGACTAAACAATAGCTGCAGGATTTGACCTAATTTTTAGATCAAATAATAAAGGGGTGGCTAAGACAAATTGCTCTGAGCCCATGTGCGTAAAGCAGCCTCACTTTTCATTTGCTCCAGTTTGGTGTTGCTGTAGCCTCACTGACTTCATGATGTTAACCCAGGCTGTCCTTAAGAAAATATAGTGAGAATATAAGCCCTAAATCTGCTGCCTGATTTTGGATTTGTTTAAAACTTATAAGAAAATAGCATTTTTCTCCATAATTTCTGTTACCTGATCTTTTTTGGTGTAATGAATGCAAGTATTCTTTTCTTTTCCTTTATTCATTATCTAAAATCAGAATTTTTTAAAAAAAATCATTTTAAAAAGCCCTGATGTAGTAAGGAACTGTGCTTGTTAATCTTTTGTATAATTTGATATTAGTTTCCGATGTACTTATCTAAAAGCCTTGTTTCCCCCAGACATTTTTTCAAAGGAATGTAGCTAATATATGCATGTCAGATACTGTATACTAATAAGATAAATGCAGTACAGAAAAGTAGACTAGTTCACCTGATGGTTTATCTTTACTTACAAGGGGTATACAGTCGTACAAAGAA